TACCTTTAGTTTGAGATGGAATTTTCTATCAGACAATAAGCTCGATGCATTCCTCCACTTCAATCATCCAACTTGAATTTTATTATAATATCCCCATTTATTTCACTATTATTCCGAATAATAGATCCAAGATATTTAAAATGTATACTTTGATCCAAAAAAAAAAAGGATCAATTGATATGAAATGTAACAATCGGGTTATTACAATTTTTCTCTCTTTGTCTCTCAGTCTTTATGTTTCTCTTAGTGTGAGCACATTGAAATCTTTTAAGACACTTTTTTTTATTATTATTAATAGTGTTAACTCCATGATCTTTTGATCAGGGATGTGGAGTTTTAATAAGCTTTCCTTTGATTTGATCAAAATTTTTGACTTTGATTTATAGATAAGTTACGTTTATGTTTTATCAAGAAAAATTATTACGTACGGAGTCCGGACAACCAATCATGTAAAGATGCGGGAGTTTTTTTTTTTTCTTTTGTACATAGGATGCGTACAAAAAAGAGAATTCACATATTTTTACGTGATTCAAGTCCGGACGAAAAGCTAGGTCTAAGCTTTCCAAGCCAACATTATTGTCTTGCGTAGTTCGGTGAAGTGGAAGTCCTTGAAGGATTAAGTATGACGGGCTTCAATGGAGAAAAGGATTTTCTTTCGACCTTGTTCATGGGCTAATTATTTAAAGAAATAAATCATTTGTCGCTGCAATTTACAATTTAACTGGATTATCCTATCCTTTGATATTTTCTGGTTGCAGCAATTCAGTTTGTAATAATTCTTGAATCAGAAAATTGCAGCGTCACTTGAGGACAATTGGATCCACGTGCTTTCCTGCAACGTGTTTGCCTCGTGCACCATGGCAAAAAATCTTAAATGTTAGTCCAACGTGTTAGTTTGTCTAGAATTTGATTATGTGAATCTATTGAGTTGTATTGTTTTCTTGAATCTCAATTTTATTAAAAAGTTCACTCGAAGGTTGCAGCGAGTAACGTTGCTAAAATATTTTTTGTATGATTGTACAACACTTTGTTGTCCTAGTTGGAGGTAGATAAAGAGCAGAGAGCTGCGGTGCTATCAGATGACTCAGATAGATTGGAGAGAGGGAGTTCAGCACTGTGGATCTAGAAATTTGGCTCCGCGGTGCTAGGAGGCGGGCTAAGCAGTTTTTCTTCTTCTTTTTCATTAAGAATTGCATATAGTACATTTCTTGGTGTAATTTTGCTCTATGAAACTTTTTTTTTTTCTGTTTAAAGTTTTTCTATTTTAAATAATGATATTTTTTCGTTATATTATGAATAAGAGCATAATGCTTAATTTAAATTAGCAGTAGGATCATGTGTTTAAAAAAATTTAAAAAGAAGCAAATTAGCTATACAGAATGACGTATTCTAATGAATGCATCAAATCATTTGGTACATTCAGCCCAATTAATCGAATTAAATTTCAAAAGTATTGTAGCAATGCACCATATAGTTTGACACATTCAATAGAATGTACCATTTTATTTGACTAATTGTTGACCTGCTGTTTAACAAAAAAAAAAAGAAGAGAAAAAAAAAAAATCAATCAAATCCTACCTGCTCTGCCGAAGCACGTCGCAGCTAGTTCGCACGTCGCTCGCACGTCGACGTCGCTTCTTCGCACGATCTCCCTCGACGTTAAAAAGAGGCCGAAGTCCCTGCTCTTCGGTTCGACGACTACGAGCTCCCCACCCTTTCTCACTCTAGACTCTCTCCTTTCCGATCGAATAGAAAGTTACGACACTTTGATCGGCAGCAACAACACGAGCTCACCCACTGCGAAGGAAGCTTCCTCCCGATCACCCCTTCTTCGACTCCTCCGTGGCCGGTCGACTTCATCCTCTTGACGACTTTCCCTTTCTACCGAATCGGAAGTTGGACATTTGATCGGAAGCAAGCACGCGAGCTCGCTTGCTGCGAAGAGACTCCCTTCCGACCGCTTACCCGGCTCCTTTGTGGCTGCTCGGCCTAGCTCCTTCGACGACATTCCCTCTCTGTAGGATCGGAAGTCACTACATTTAGATCGGAAGCAAGAACGGGAGCTCGCCGTTTGTTTATCTAATTATTACTATAATTAATATAAATTATAATAAAGGATAATAATAATAATAATGCGTACCCCCTCTCCTCGCCTCGACATCCGTGCCCTCCACCCTCGGTCCATTGGTCCGTCGGCCGCCAAAGGTATAACTTCTAGAACCTTTGTTCGCTCTCTTACCTTGGCATGCGTGTCGAGTCGGTGGTCTGCCTATACACGTTTTTCTCTAGCGTGGTGGGAGGGGCAATCGGCGCGATACCCACGACAAGGTAGGCGAGCGACCCTCGGTTCCAAACCTGTTCTCGACGTTCATGGCGCACCGGCAAACCACCTATACACGCTTTTCTCTAGCGTGGTGGGAAGGGAACCCGGCGCGGCGCCTACGACGAGATCGAGATATTCATAAGTATCCGCTTGAGGGGAAACAACTGCTTCTCTCTTGCAACAGGTACCGAAGACCCATACACGCCTCTCTTTGGCGTGGTGGGGACAAAGACTTTACACGACCGCGGTGTCCTCGAAAGAGGGCACCTACCGTACACGCTTTGCTCTAGCGTGGCGGGAGGCCCAGTTTTCCGTCATTTTCCCCTAAACGGGGGAGACGCCGGGAGGCTGCCGAAATTCAGACTGAAGGCACCGTGGACTTGAAAAGAATTTTGGCCTATACGTGAGCAAGTTTTGGACATGAAAGAACAAGAGCCTGCATTCAAATGAACATGAACAATGGACTTGTGGATTTGAATCAGAACAAAATTCAAATGATTTCTAAAGACCAAATTCAAATGAAACGAAATCAAAGTTGGAACCAAATTCAAGTCAATCTGAATATGAAATTGTACCTGCAAAGACTCCAAAAGACTTTGAACAATCATTTGAACATACATTCAGACTCAAATTCAAAGGAACTAAGTGTGGAGGGCACTAAAATTGAACAAGACTCGGACTATAGAGGACACAGAACTGAGCTTGCACATTAAGCTCATGAACCTGATTTAAATCGATCCTAAAAGGACTTGAACTTGAGCCTGGTTTGAGCATCATCGCCCTCTCACATTCGACGCCAGTCAAAACTACCACCTGAGATTGGTGAAAGGCGGTCGTGATGCAAAGATAATGGCTCTCCTACAAATACCTCTAGGAGGTCGTAGTTGATACAACGGGTCCCTGCAAATGAATACAAACTACTCGTGGATAACAACAGTGGGTACTTCGTAAGCACAACGAACCACTGTGGACACAAGTACAAGTATCACCTACGACAGTGGTGATCAAGATCTACAAGCACGTCGGGAATAAGGGCAACTTGATGTACGAAGAAGGACACCTCCTGGCAGAATGGGAGGGAAGTTCAAACAAATTAGAACTAAACTTCCTAATGTTCCAAGAAAATCTCCTTGATCCTATAATCAGGAATAAAACAGTATTCGCATCTACAAATCCCAGATATAACAAATCTACTACACTAAAGATCTGGAAAGGAGATCTATTCTTTGCAAATTAACGAATTCCAAAGTCCAGAAGAAATGTTCCCCGGTGATTGAGAAAGGGGAGACAATAACAAGATGAGGAGATGCCTCATAACATCAAGATCATAACGCCACCGGATCTGCAACAGTTATACAATCAGACAGAAGACGTTTACAATCTACAACACAACGCCACCGGACCCGCAATATCCACGCAAGTGGGCAGAAGGCGTTTACAAAATCTTTCAAAATACCCCTACACGTGCACCATAAATTGTATACACATAGGTACACAAAAAAGGAGATAAATACAATCGTAACCCTCATGGGCCCCGGCGAGCGTGTTATTGGTACACACGTGATGTCTAGGGATGCTGCGCGGGTCAACAAATGAATTCTAGTTCGAGCCTGATCCTTCTATACGGATCAATAGAAATCTACAGGGTTCGAACCTTCAAACAAATACATGGTTGTGGGGATCGATGTATTTGTTTCAAGACATTTATATTATGCCTTCAAGGCCTACAATCAAAAGAATTCACTAAACAAAAGGTATGAAGCCTACGAAACCCGATCCTCCTAAGCAGGTGAATAGGAGTAGACAGGGTTCAAACTCCCAGATAAATATACGGTCATGAATGTGATCGGAATATTTATTTTAATACATTCATATTCGGCCTTCAAGGCCTAAAATCAAGAAAATTCATAAACAAAGGCACAAAGCTAACATTATCCAAATGCCCAGTCGAAAAAATCACTAGGATCCATTCTCAAAACAATCTCCTGCCAGTAAGGACGTGGTACGTGTTCTCTGACCGGCGGTCTGCCGCCAAATGGCACCTAAGTGAAAGATGATGCAATTTCTATTTTAAATATCAAATTTCCAAATTCTTCGAAGCATTACAAATCTCAATACCTATGCTGCTACTATATGCAAGATAACACGTATTCCATACGTATCTGATTGACGACTAGCCTTAATCGAAAGTTATCTCTCGTGATCGGGAGGGGTGCTTAACTATAGGGGCTTGCACCTATAGGAAACCAGAACTCAGATCATAAAGTCCTCGCAAAATGAGGGCGAAATCTCTGGGTAGTGTTTTATCTACAAATCCATCTGTCTTCCAAAATTTACCCCGGAACTTATCTGTTAAAACTCCATCGCTCAAATAAAAGCACAATCAATCAGTGCGCGGCGGGGAGGTCGGGGCCGAATTTTCGCAGCCCACACTAACTTGCTTCTTTTTAATTTTATTTAATAATCTGTTATTATTCTTAATTTAATTAAACATCATTCTCCTTTTTTTTGTTTGCTATGAGTTTTACTTTTAGGCTTCCACAGCACAATGGAATAGAAACTTCAACGTGTTTCTTTACTATTGGTTTATTGGATATTTCCAGTCCAGGATCTTGGTTCGCAGATAAGGTTCATATAAATCTAAGACTCAAAAGAGAAAAACTGAAAAAGAGATCTTCTTCCTTTCTGATGGCCGTAAGGAGCTGCGACTGCTCCCCGGTACGTATAACTCGTCAGAAATCCTCGAAGGCTCCAATCGCCATCTATCATCATTCGCGCCTCTTCTCTGTAACATTTCCTTCTTCCTCTCCTCGAAGTCATTTGGTTCTTTCCTCCAAATCATCCCCCTCTCTTCTCCAAGATGCCTCGAAGAATCTCCAAATTCCTTCCAGCTCCCCACTTCAGCTGACTCCTCCCTTGCCTGACCTCTTTATTTCCAACGAATTCATCGATAGCTTGTGCCAGAATCACCAGACTGAATCTCTTGCCTTTTGCTACTACCAAAAGGCAACAGCTCAGCCTGGTTTTGAGTTGGAACCGCAAACCTTGAAGCTGGTACTGAAGACTCTAGTCAGAAACAGACAATGGAGTTCAATATCTGCAATAGCAAAGGATTTTCTTTTGCTTGAAGGATTCCCAGATAAGATATCATGCTGTAAATTAATTAGCAGCTGCATTCGAGCTCGGAAGTTTAAACTTGTTGAGTTCTTACTTGGTGTTCTTGAATGTAAGAAGGATGTCGCAGTCCCATCCTACGCTGCTGTCATGAATGGCTACAATAAGCTCCACATGTACCGAAGCACAGTTTCGGTGTTTGATAGAATGATTTCTGTGGGGGTTTCTCCTGATGCAAAATGCTATTACTTAATTATGGAAGCTCATAGAAAGCTTAGGAACGCAGATATGGTTCTTTCCCTCTTTCTCAAGTTCATTTCTGAGAAAAAAGAAACAGTGGCTGCCTCTGTTCACATCTATTATGTCTTGTGTGATTCACTTGGCAGGTCGGGCAGAGCCGTTGAAGCCCTTAGATATTTCAGAGAGATGATCGAAAAGAGAATTACTCCAACACCTTCAATATATTCTTCACTGATCTGCTCTTTTGCAGGGATCAGAGAGGCAGAGATTGCTTGGGATCTTTACAGTGAAGCTAAGGCGAAGGGGTTGGTGAGAGACCCGGATATGTTTCTGAAACTTGTACTGATGTATGTGGATTTGGGATTACTGGAGAAGACAGTTGAGATTGTTGAGGAGATGGTGGAGATGAAGATGAAGGTTACAGACTGCATCTTGTGTGCTGTTATAAATGGTTACACTAAGAAAAGGGGGCTTTGGGCATCAATGAAGTCATATGAGAAGCTGAAATCTCTAGGATGTGAGCCAGGCCAGGTGACCTATGCTTCAATTATTAATGTTTATTGTCGCCTTGGTCTATATCCAAATGCCGAGAATACATTTGTTGAAATGCTTGAGAGAGGCTTTGACAGATGTGTGGTAGCCTACTCGAATATAATTTCTATGTATGGGAAGAATGGAAGGGATAGAGATGCCATGAAACTTTTGGCAAAAATGAAAGAGAAAGGGTGTGAGCCCAATGTTTGGGTGTACAATTCTCTCTTGGATATGCATGGAAGGCTCCTCAATCTCAAGCAAGTGGACAAATTGTGGAAGGAGATGAAGCGGAGGGGAATTGCACCTGATAGGGTCAGTTATACTAGCTTAATATGTGCATACAGCAAAGCTAGACAGTTTGAGGAGTGCATAAAATTTTATGATCAGTATAAGATGAATGGTGGAAAGGCCGACAAGGCCTTGGCTGGGATTATGGTTGGAGTTTTCTCAAAGATTAACAAAATTGATGATTTGATTAAGTTGCTTAATGATCTGAAGATGGATGGTATGAGATTTGATGATAGATTGTACAAGTCTGCGCTCAATGCTTTACGTGATTCAGGGCTCCTAGTTCATGTGAAGTGGCTAGAAGAAAATTTTAGTTTTGAGATTGAGATGGAAAAAACTTGATCAGCTAAGTCCAGGATATATAAATTTTATTAAATTTTGATAGTACCGCCGTGTTAACTGATTTCTTCTGCACAACTGGACTTTAGCTGCTGAAGTTGGCACTGACATTATATACTTGCCCTATCAAGCTCCTGGCAGATTTATGAGATTCATCAAATGATCTCAGCAAAGCTTCCGGAAGGTGCATCATCGAATTCTCTCATTTTCAAGTATGGCTTCCATGAAATGCTTCCTTGGTCAGTTATCAGAAAAGAAATCTCAAATGGGGGACTTTTACATTATGGGGTAAATTATACTCCACAACATTGTCATAATTTTCTATGTTCTATAATTGATTTCCTTTTGTATACACGTGAAGCATTAAAAGTGCATGTTGGGGAGATGAGGAGTAAACACCACAATGACGAAACAAGCAAGAAAGTAAAAGCAGTGAAAAATTGAATGACACCAGGATTTAATGGGGAAAAATCCAAAAGAAGGAAAAAATCACGAAAACACACCACACCAAGAAATCCATTATAAAAATTGGGAGAAATAAGTATAGATCTCTTTTCTCTCTCACCCTCTTCTTGCTTCTCTTCTCACTTACACCGTTCTCAATGTCTAGTTACTCAAAATATAAGAAAAGACCAAGTAAAATAACCCTAAGGGACACGACCATTCAAAAAAACGAGAAAGAGAACCGTCCAGTCCATCTCGCAGGGCTACGATGCTCAACCCCTCTGTCTTGCATCGCTGCAGTGTCGTACCTATACCGCTGTGGCGCTCTGCTCTCTGTCGTTCAGCACCGGGGCACTCGGAAACACAGCGTCGGTGTGAAACCCCTTAAGTAAAAGAAACTAAAGTCTTAAAATATTGAGATGTCTTTTGGTGTAATGGTTAGAATTTTATTAATAAATTATGCAGTTAAGCGTGCTCATCCTGGAGCAATTATGAGATGGATGACCTATTGAGATGTTATACCAAGAGGACAAAATCGTTAGACTCTTAGGCCAAAGCGTACAATATCTCGATAGTTAATACAAAGTAATACACCAACTGGAAGATGGGAACTAAGTGTTATACAAGGTAAAGTGCTACACCATGAGAGCTACCTCTTGAACTCTGTATGGGACAAAGTGTTACATGATGGAAGCCATCACTTGAACTTCTAGTGGCCACCTCTATAATCCTATCTACCTGGTGGATGATTTTAGGATAAAGATACTGATTAGGACGTCAGTTACTTAATTGGGGGAGATTGTGAAACCCTTTAAGTAAAAGAAGCTAAACTCTTAAAACATCGAGACGCTTTTTGGTGTAATAGTTAGAATTTCATTAAAAATCTGTGAGGCTCTTAGGCAAAGCTGACAATATCTCGATAGTTAAGAGTTTGGGCTGTTACAGCCAGGACGCTCAGGTACGCAGTGTTGGGGCATTTACGAAAAAAAATTCGAACCCATGCAAGGGTAACCCCCCGCACCCCCCAGCGAACACGACAAGCTTTGAGGTCCGAGACAACGGAACGACTAAATTGATCAACACAATCATATTCCACACATAATAGTGCATCTAAAAGGGTTTAACGTTTTGGATTAGAGATTTTAATTCTACATCTGATCAATGACATTTTAGATGCATAAATTCTTTGAACTGATAATGACTTTCCGAATGTATAAATTAAGTTATTTGCGAACTACTTTATCCAACCCGAACTTGATGAGCTCATTTTACAATTGTTACGTCCTGGAATATTCACGGCGGTATAGAAATATATAGTTTAAAATCTTAACATTGTACGAAGATCCAGTACACACACACAGATTTAAAGAGAGGGTGTAACGTTCATAAGAGACACCAGAGTTTTTACGTGGAAAATCCCTGAAGAAGGGGAAAAACCACGGAGCCTGAATCAGTATGAATGAATCCACTAGTATTGTAGTTGATTACAAAGGAGGTCCTTCCTCAGGCGAAGGCCTTAGCTTGATGTACATCTTATAGAGTACATTACATGGTGAGAATATAAAGCATCATTGTTTATGTGTTTGTTTGGTCTGAAGGATTGTAGTCGGTGTGCGACGTAAGTCGGAAAGACCGTAGTAGGCGGGCAACAGAGGTCGGAAGGATTGTAGTCGGCGGGCGAGATAAGTCGGAAGGACCGTTGTCGGCGGGCGATGGAGGCCGGAAGGACTGTAGTCGGCGGGCGACGTTAGTTAGAAGGATCGTTGTTGGCGGGCGACGGAGGCTAGAAGGACTGTAGTCGGCGGGCGACGTTAGTCAGAAGGACCGTTGTGTGATGACATAGGTCAGAAAGACGGCGTCAGTTAGACATCCAGCATTGGAAAAAAATCCAGCATCGGATAGATGTCCGATGAAAGTCCAACAATAGGCAGAAGGCCGGCGTCGGGTAGAAACTTGACGACGAGCGGAGGTCTGGCGTCGGGTAGAAGTTTGAAGCCAGTTGGAGGCCGAGGAGAATTCTGACATTAGATGATATTCGGGTAGAACTCCGGCGTCACTTGGAGGTCGGACTGGATTCCGGCAACACTTGGAGGTCGGGCGGAATTCCGGCGTCACTTGGATAGAATTCCGACGGCGGTGGTCGAGGAGGAGTTCTTCCCTCCTATCTTTCTTCTCTTCTCCCTTCTCTCTCATGAGAAATGAGGGGTCTATTTATAGATTTATGGAGTGGCATGGCCTTAAATAGGTGAGAGATCAGGGGCAAATTAGGAGTGGTCAGATGGACGGTCGATATTGAATCCTTTGATCGTGGACCGTTTGTCAGACATTTGAAGGCCTTAATGATGTCGAAATTTGGCGATCTTGGGCTCATTGGATTTGTCTCGTCGAGACGCTCGATTCGACTATAAGCTCGTCGAGTTTGGAGACCGTTTAGTAACTCAAATTGTGGTACGAACTTTCCAACAGCGCTTCGGGTCCTTGATTTGGACTCATTTGGGCTCGGATTGAGTTGAATTTGGTGTTGTTGGGTTCATATTTCCAAGACGCTCAGTTTGCTGAAATCGGAGTTCAAGCGATCCCGGATTTAATTTTTGAAGCTTCCGACTTGATTTTGCCTCTAGATTTGTGCCCGATCAAGATAATTTTTTGATGATATATCAACAATAAATGCAGTTCTTAATTTAATAAACCTTAATGAATTTGTATTTTATTTCCTGTCACTATTCATATTTTCATGTTTAGCGCGAATCTATTGCTATTCGCTTTTGAAATGTTATAACTTTCTTCCTGTAGTTAATATATTAAGAGGCGCACTCTATTCCTAAGTAAATTCCTTACTGCACTTAATCTGTTTTACATGATTTCAGCAGTTCCATCTGAGAGAATTACATTTTTTATATGTAATTTCATGGTACTAATTTCTGTCTATAGTAGATTGTTCTAAAAATTAATTACAGCTAGTTTTTTGTACATCGAAAGTTTAAACTGCAAACTAATATTGTGAATCAAAAGGATTTTCTGTGTTTCCCTTTAAGGATTTTCGTTAGCCCACATCCCTCGTTATATTTGCCTCTACTTTTATTTAGAAAAAGCTGTCACAATAGAGGTCTTCTCCATATTAGAAAAAAAAAGTTTTATTGAACCTTCATTTTAAGTATTTTCTTGAATAAAAATGGTGGGTTTCAGATAAAAATTTAAAAGTTCCAAGAGAAAGTTGAATAAAACATAGGAAGCAAACTAACAAAGTAAAAGATTAAATACAGTAATTATGTTCCAAGAGAAAGTTGAATAAACACATAGGAAACAAATTAAAAGATTAAATACAGTAATTATAAATTTATCTTTTAGAGCTCCGGTAAGGAATTCCAATCTTGATGTTTAGTGTAGAGATGTGAGTGCAAATTGATAATTATATAGCTTTAGCAATTATGAGTGACTCTTTAAAGGCAGCCAATTTCTCTGCAATGTAATCCCAACCACACAATGAAAACAGCACAACAAATCTCAGCCTTTGATGATAATTAGGTTCTGTTAAATGCTACTGATTCAGAACAAAATGGTCATTTAGCCAATTTAGCCAACATCAAAGATGTAGGCCCTTGATGTGTATGTGTATGTATTTGCTTTACTGTAGACGCTTTTACGATTGAATAGAGATATACAATTTCTAACTGAGAACCGGAAAATTCTATATTTCTTCTTCTCTAGTTTTACGGCTTCTCTGTTCAAGCATTTCATCATGTTATCAGAGCAGCTGCTCAATGATAACAATTTCGAGGTGTCTATAAGGATGCACCGCATCATTCGCCCCCGCCATGAGAAGAATCAGAGTGTACCGATTCGATACTAATTGGACTGTCATCTGGTGGAACATATGTAAAGAGGTCAGTAACATTGAAGGTATGGGAGGTAGTAAATTCGGCCGGAAGATCAACGACATAAGCATTGTCGTTGATCTTTTTACTGATAGAAAATGGCCCCCATTTCCGCCTACTTAATTTCGACTGCGGCCCCGGTGGCAGTCTTTCCTTGCGAATACGAACATAAACTAGATCTCCTGGCTTGAAGATCTTTTCTCTTCGGTGTACATCCGCTGCAGCTTTATACGTCTGAGCGGAATCCTGTAGTTTGAGGCGAACTTCAGAGAGCATCTTGACAAATTGGTCCGCGAATGCATAAGCGGCTTTACTCTGGCTTTTGGGAAGAACTGCAACGTCAAGAACAGTGTTAGGTAACTTGGTGTAAACAATGCTAAACGGACACATACCCGTGGACCGATTAGTCATAGAATTAAATGCAAATTCTGCTTGACAGAGAATATCGTCCCACAGTTTCGGATGTTCCTGAACAAGGCAACGAAGGAGGTTGCCGAGTGTCCGGTTGACTACTTCGGTCTGTCCATCCGTCTGTGGATGATAGGCTGAACTCAACTGAATCTGTGTGCTCATGCGCTTCCATAACTCCCGTCAGAAATGGCTTATGAATTTGACATCTCTGTTTGAAGTGAGGCTCCGAGGAATGCCATGAAGACGGACTACTTCTTTAAAAAAAAGTTTGGCAATATTGAGGGCATCAAACGTCTTCTTGCACGCAATGAAATGAGCCATTTTTGAAAACCTATCTACCACCACCATAATAGAATCGTTACCTCGCTTTGTTCGTGGAAGACCCAATATGAAGTCCAAGCTCAGATCTTCCCAGATAGAGTCCGGGATTGGCGGCGGTTGATACAAGCCAGTATTTTGTCCACCTCCTTTATAACTCTGACAAACCGCACACCTTTGTACGAATTTAATCACATCTCGACAGAGATGTGGCCAGAAGAATCGAGTTTGTAATTGTGCAATAGTGTTGTCACGTCCCATATGAGCTGCCAATGCTCCTGCATGAGTTTCCTGGATGATTCGCTG